AAAAAATCTCATATCTAACAAGACAATACGTATTATTGAATTAATCTTTTTATGTCCGACACGATAGGCTTAAAATATATGCTTTCAGTTGAAAAACAAAGTTGACCGCAATATATCATAAAATGCAAGCGACCAAAAAGAACACAAAATCTACACCCAAAGGCGTAACTTGGGGGCAAAGTTTGGGTCAGCCTCTGGCGTTTCAACGCTCTACATATCGAAAGAAGTTACCTCCCGGGATGGGACGGGCGCTTTGGAAAATGCTCCTCGGGATGTGCGAATACTGCGTCACTTGAATCGAACTGGCCACTCCCATTGGTCACAACGCTGCGCCCAGGAAGCTGCCACAATTTTGTCCATTTCGACTAGACGTAATTTGGTGCTCGCCTTTAAAGACACTACGATCGCAATATCTTTTATTATACTCAATTACAGCATTCAATTTTGGATAGTTTACGATTTTCTGTGTGTGGCTCTCATTGATGGAATTCCGCCCGCCTTCGGGAGTCTTCGCTCCCCTTTGCGTCGAGCTCCCTCGCCTGATAGCTTGGAGAAGCCCTAGAAGCCCAGTTACCCGTTCCAGGCAAGGCGAACTCACCTGCCTTCGCCCAGAGCTCTGGGACTCATTTCATAAAATTTGATTATGATTCCTGCCGAGCCCTTCAAATAACTATTATTGAACAAAATTGTGTATCTAGTTTTTACACAACACAAACTCGACATAAGAAGATACTGCACATTTAACATTATTTAACCTCAGAATAATGAATGGTTTCAGATGTCAAGAAGAACTAAAATCAAGAAAAAAAGCAGGACTTCCTTCAAAATTTAAAAGAGATATTTAGAAGAGCACAAAGAACGATGGTTTTGTTAAAGCATTTTAGAACGAAGGATTTTAGATAAAGAGTGGAAGAAGAAAGCTGATCTCATAAATGAAAGGCACGTTTATTTGAAGTGATGTGGAACCTGAGCTTGAAGTAGATATCTATGGTTGCAACTGCTCCAGAATTTTCAATTAGAATTTTACGATGTTACGAAATTTTATGATTTTAATACATAACTTATTTTTAGTAATCAAATGCTGTTATGTCTGATGCTGTAGAAATTAATGGGAATTGTTTAATTCTTCTGAATGCGTACTACTACATTATGGTAAGCCTGTTTTCCTCTTTATCTCTCGGAAAGGTGGTCTTACCAGTGTTCTCTCGACCGGCTGGCGGTCGCAATGGTACCCACTAGGTTCCCCCATTCCTTTACCTGACGTGGGCCGCCGGTTTTATACTCAGGATATTTTTGTTATGTATTACAACCATAGCCTGTGAATCCCTCTCAGCTTGGTTCAACTTAAGCAGAATGATACGACCGCACATGCAGGTAGCGCCATCAGTGCGCATGTCGTGGCGGGGAAAAGGGTGCCTAAGGAATAGAGCTGTCACGTGCAACGTGCACAATGCTCCTAACGTCCAATCAACTGAGGTTTCATCTCAAGAAATATTCGCTTGAACTAAAGTTTCGGATCGATATCACGAGTACGTCCCAAAATATGAGAGGTCAAAAGTCATGAAAATTCATTGTTTTGCAAATATCCTAGTTCCTACGCATTTTATGTTGAGAAATCTTCTTATAAGATTTGATTAGAACAAAATTTCTCAGCAAATTAGTTCTAAACCATTTTTCTACGACTAACAGTTTCTGATACACTTGAGGTTACAAACATGTAAAACATCGCTTTTCGTAAATATGTCAATTTCTGTGCGTTCCTTGTCAAATGGGATTCTCATCAAACCTATAGGAAATAAAATTTCTCACAAAATTCATGATTCATTGTTTTTCATACGGCAAACCACCCGATGCGACGATGTGGCAGTATTTATTATTTCCGTTGATGCTGTTTAACATTTTATAACATTGAACCATTTTTAAACTGCAGAAACGTGTAAATAAATAAAAGTGTATTAACAATATCTAACAAAATATTGCTTTCATTTCCACACCACCCTTGTGATAGATTGCAAGGCGTGCTTATACATGACACCTAGACCACTATCTCCGAGAATGCTTGTTTTGACACGGTCATTATTTTTTTTTTTGGTTGCAATTTTCGAAAATACAGAGTTCGCGAAAAATGGCACTTGCGTAAATTTTTAAGCACCCAACGCTCTATTCCAGGGGAAAAAATTGTTGGTGTCCCTTTCAAGAATATTTTATAAATTGCCTTTATGTAAAACAAAATTACGCGAAAGTCAATTTTTTGGCTTCTAAAAATTGTACATCACTTTATTTAAAGAGGTAACGTTTTAAGACAGATTTTATGAAGGGAAAATATTTGTATAATCTCTGTTGTACTTTTGCAGTGTTAATTTCTAGCATTTTTCGAAAATACAGAGAGTTTGCAGAAGATAGAAATGGCACGATTTATTTAATTGTCGAATGCTCTTACCAAGGAAGAACTTTAAAGAAAAATTAAAGCCGTTTTGAGAAAATTCTAACTTAAAATTTTCCTACGCTAAATTTTACGCGAAAACTACTCATATTTTTGAAAAACCGTTCATTAACTTATTTCAAGAAGTCTGAGAGGAACCGATTTTATTAACAAAAAATCTCTATCTTCAATATTGAAGTTGTAGGAAGATGCCGACACACGTTTTAACTTTCGGAATGTTCGAATATTTAGAGATTTTAACGAATATGACACCTGTTCCAATTTTTGCGGCGCTCTTTACGCTATCCGGGAACAAAGTTCAATAAAACAAATTGGAGTAATTTTGGAGAAAATTTTGAAAATGTTCAAGCGTCATGTAAAAACCAAAATAATTATTTCAAACTCGCAGTGCAGCGATTTCGTCTAGATTGATAGAAATAAAATTAACTTTGTAAATAATAGTCTGAATTTTTTAGGCGTTAGCTTTGTGCAGAAACGAACGGACGTTTTGCTGTCTATCGATTTTTCGGTATCAAAGAACCAACAAAGTATGGAGTCTCACTACATAATATGTGGAAGGCAGTAATTTATTAGATATAGGAGCCAGATTTGACTGCTTTTTTGATACCATGGCCCACAATACAATGAGGTTTTCTCTCGAAAAATCGTCTATTTCTGTCGCGTGCAAGTGACGATAAATTAAAAATCTCCAAAATATTGTACTTTTGAATTTTTTTAATTGTCAGAAATAGAATTCGCCGAAAATAGTACGCTTAATTTTTTTTAAGCCTCTATACGACGAAAAAATAAAAATAAAACATTTCGAGTCATTTTTGACAAAAACAATAATAAATTGCTTTTACTTTATTACAATTAAAATTAAGCGAAAACTCATTTTTTCAATAAATTGTACGTGACCTTACTATCTCGCCTTAGTTTCTACCCTAGAACGGCAACAATTTTTTTCTGGGATAGAGCACAGAACTTTTAAAAAAAAGTGCAGTTTCCATTTTTAACGAACTCTCTACTTTTTTAATCGCATAGAATGAATATTACAAACGTGCAATATTAATTCTAGATATTAATGATAGAGATTTTTGTTGTTGATGAAATCTGTTTTTTAAAAATAGATATTTCAATAAAATCATGTACAATGTTTTGAAAAAAGTGTACTTTTCACATAGTTATTGCTAGAAGTCAATGCTATTTAGAAAAAATTCCAAGTTTCTCTTTGGATAATCTGAATATGAATTATAATTCCAAATAATGTTGAAAAGAATATGATGCTATTATTTTCGACAAATTCTCCCTATTTTCGAAAATTGGCAGATTGTTTCTTAATGAACAATGTTGTTTCAAGTGTAAGTTTGAAATAATATAAATTACAATTTCGAAAACTATAACTTGAAATACTATAAATTTAAATTTCGAAATTTTTGAATATTGGAAAATCCAATGGTCAACTTTATTAAATCGTAGGGAACGTGGAGTTTGACTGTGAAGCATGTGGTGGAGGTGTAATGTGAATGGCGTGTTAACAACTATTTTGTACAATTTTATATTATATTAATATTTTTTATTGATGGAGTATTGTAATGTGTGTTAAATGTTTATGTCCGGACTGTAAAGGACTCCTCGGCACGAATTTATCGACAATCTTCTCCGCGCCACATCGTCACGTGGTTTGTCGTATGGAAAACTATGAATCACCAGTTTCATAGGAATTTTTATTTCCTACAAGTTTGATGAGAATCCAAATCGACGTACAATGCAAAGAAATTGATATATTTACGATAAACCGTTATTTTGTATTTTTTGTAATCTTAAATTTCTCGATAACAGCCCATCACAGAAAAAAATGTTTAGAACCAGTTTTGTGAGATTTGTATTCACGTCAAAACTTGTAATGTGGTTATTGAACATAAATTGCATAGGAACTGGGATATTTGCGAAACACTATTTTTCGTGATTTTATCAGCTAATATTTTGGAACGCACTCGTGGTATCGATCTGAAGTTTCCAACCCTTTTATAAACTTCAAAATAAATGTCTCATTGGAAATTCAGCTCAAGGATTTTTTTTCCGCAGATACGGCATTTTTATTCTAATTTTATTGGGTCACTACGCCATCTAGACAGATCAGGATAGAGTGGATGAGGTTAGATGACCTACCCTGCCACAACACAAAGGTAACCATCCATGCTTAAGTGGGATTTGAATTTACAGGCGAGATCACAATTGCACTCTTGGCTTAGCGATCTTAGCTGTTTGGGCCGGTTAATTCTTTTAAATTAATGAATTTATAACACGTTAGTTACTCTACATTTTCTAATATGAGATATAGGAACTGACTGAAATTATATTTCACTATTTAAAAGTTTGATTACTTTTTATATTCTATTTAAGAGATGCTAAACTGAATTTTCTTTATTATTGATCATTTGTTGGGACATTTCATATATGTATTAAGTGCCATGCAGGGTATGAAGTATTGGAACGTGAGAAATTTTGTGATTTGTATAAGTGGTATACAAGATTCAAACAAGTGAAAACCACAGATTACACATTCTGTATTTACCAATTAGTTCCTCAGTTGGTGAGCCTGTCTTACTTCTGGATTCATCTAGAGAGAAGTTATAATAATGTTTACAGAAAAATACAAAATTCGTTTAAAATTGTTTTGCACCAGTATATTAGGATTCTTTATTATCTTAGGATTCATCACTGTAAGACATGTACTGATTACTTTTAAGAAAATTCCAAAGATTTCAGTAAATGTTTGAAGTTAGAATTTTCTTGATTATGAAGTCATTATTCCTATACTCAAGTATATGTTGAAATGAATTACACAATTTCACACTGCTGAATACAATTTTAGGTGCATATAGTAGAAAATGGGGAAAAGTACAAACTTACCTATAACACGAACTGTGAAGTCAACACTTTTTAAACCAGCTTCATTTCGTGCAGTAAATGTATATGTACCACTGTCTGATTTAGTGAGGGAAGATACAGAAATGGTAGACGAAGTTTCATCAGTCTGAATAGTGCAATGCTTTGTTGATGCCAGACTTTTACCATTCTTAGTCCATTGACTATCAGGTTTGGGATAACCTGAAACTTTCACTTCAATTTTCCATTGATTTGTGACTCTCAGTTTTTGAGTCATAAGTGTTTCATCATATTCTAGTTTAGGTGGATCTGGAAAAGCAAATACAATTATTTCAAAAATACTTTCTCAATTTAAATATGCGAAACATTGTCATTTCATCAGCAATTTTATTGTACCTTGAATCTTTACTTCGCAGGTTGTTTCCGCATAACCAGCATCGTTCTTGGCGTAGCAGCGATAAGTTCCCGCTGTTTCAGGGGTTGATTTGTTGACAACATATTTTGAAACGCAGTTTTCATACGTAATGTTTTCGCTGCTGAATACTTGTCCGTTTTTGAACCTAAAATTAAATGGTACGTATTACATTTTATTACAATGTAATACAGTTTAGTGCGTGCATTGCTTTTTGCATGTTTTGCCCAGACGTTTTTTAGTGCTAATTGCGCTGCGAAATTGTGAGACTCTCCTGACGTTACAATTATCGATGCGTTCATACTGAGGTACGGGAGAAGCGAGAAAAAATCCCTTTCACTTCGGACACCAAATCCCAAAAGACAGCATTGAAAATGCCTAACTAGAAGAGATGGGGCATGACAGTTTTGAAGGCATCACAACATTCCCTGAATGTCTAGGTCTACCTTTTTGGGGCGGGAGGGGGAGCATCGCAATATTTTTCGCAGGGTGTTCTACCTCACAGTACTCAGTCAGCGCTGGTAGCCGAAAACTAAGGCATGAAAGTGAAGCAGCTCGAGATATCGTGTGCCTCTGGATGGGTTATTGTCTGAGGAACGACGCTAAGGCCCTGGCTGAGGGGGATAAAAAGCAACGGCTTACGACTTGACTTGACGAATGACTGACAATGTTCAAGGAGAGATACTCCACGTTTAATATCAAATTGGACTGGAACGTCTTAACGGAAGTTGTGCAATGGTTCAGTGAAGTGTCTACACTTCGATTTATTTATAATGGTACTTTACTTGTATTCAACTGTTACGGTGTCATCCAATCGAGAGCTTGAATCAGCTCATCACAGTGATACCACTGTAGTGACGTGTAAGATCCCGATTGGATGACACCGTAACAGCTGACTTACGTCAAGTGCCACTACAAATAAATTGTGTTGGACGTAATTTCATTCGTGGAATAGTCGTATTAAATAAAACTCGTGCTTTGGAAATTCTCAGATAAATCCCCTCCTCGCGTCGCGAGTCGGGAATTTATCGACAATTTCCAAAGCACTCGTGGTATTATCTATGATAATGCATAATCGAAAACGCAGAGTCCAAATTTGAAGTGATTTTGGCTTTTAGAGGAATTCCCAATCATTTCTTTGTGGACCTTTTCAAAGCCAGTGGTTTGGAAATAACGAATACCTGCCCAAGAGAAGTTGCAATTTTGTTTTCAAGGAATAGGGTTATTAGAGTATCGACAAAGAAGGTCTTTGGACCACTTAAATACGTCACGTTTTTTAATATACCTTATAATTCGTAATTTGAAATGAAACTAGTTTAAAGATATACTTTTATAATTTAATGTTATACTTTTAATGATATAAGTTAATGTGATAATATTTCAAGATTTCTTATTATGAAATTGTTTTTAACCATATGAAGGCGCGAGGAGTGGAAAAGCAGCCGAAATGAAGCTCACCTAAATATCGCGTTCCACCCAGTCAACTAACCGGAAAGCCGATTTTCGCACTTGATCTAGTAATGCGCTTGGTTTCAGTTGATCCTTGGCCTCGGGAAAGCGCCTGCTCACAGCCTCCACCTCCTGACTGTGACCGTCCAATTGTGACTGTATGAAACTTAATACTTTTGTTCATAAATCGTGTTCTAGTAGTCTAGTAATGCTGTATGCTGGTCAAAACCGAGTGTTCCGTCCCGGATGTTAAGACATATAGAAATAATAGAGGTGGGGGGTATTCATTTAAGTTAAGGACACAGTAAATACATTATGTGATCAAAAGTATCCGGACTCGTTGAAAATGGTGTGGTCGTGTTTTTCATGATAAAACGAAATATTCATGTCAAATATAACCCGCAATACTCGGCAGCATTTTCGAATCTATATAGTTAAAAAACTTAAAAAATGTTGCATTAAAAACAGGTATCAAAGAAACTTTTATTATACCGAAATCTGCAGGATGAGATATTCTTGAATTCGTACATTTTTGCTGGTCCGGTGCTTCTCGATGTTACTACACCTGCTTAGAAACATGCAGAATCTGCAACTTAATGTGAATGAAAGGGACAGACAGTGGCAGAGATAGATAGATAGAGAGAGAGAGAGAAAGTGAGAGTGTGTGTGTGTGTGTGTGAGAGAGAGAGAGACAGACAAACAGACCGTCACAGAGAGTCAGACTGACTGAGACAGGGACAGGTCAGATAGAGAAGGAGAGAGAGAGAGACGGAGAGGGAGAGAGAAAGGGAGAGGGAAGGAAAAAGAGGGAAATGAAGGGCAGAACAACGTCTGCCGAGTTCCGCTATTATTATATATTGCCAGTAGGTCAGTGGATGGGAATAGATTTTTGGCGAAATGGCAGTATTTTGTAAAATTAAATCCAAATATAATATTATAAATTTAAGAAATTAAAATTGAATTGAATTGATTGAACTCTAATTGTAAATTTTGATGTATAGATTAATCGGCCTAAATACAATCGATTTACTTCTGTTTATTCCCAGCACGTATAAATAATGAATATCTTTCAATAGAAAGAAAATTTGGCCAGATTTCTACTTGAACCTGTTAAAAAGTCGCTTCTCAGTAGAACTTCGTTGAAGAAATAGTGTTTTAGTACGTAACAAACGTTAGAAAGAACTGGAACACAAAAGAAACTACTATAAAGTGGGATATTAATGTTTATTTTGTGGGAATAATGATGAAACATGAATCTGTAACCTAACAAGCAAGCCTGCTAAAAGTATCAATTGTAGCGGTAAACATTTGGCCTCAAATCAAAATTGTCCATTCTATTTTGCAAGTCAAATGGTATTTCATAGTAGAAGGTCCTCCATGTTTCCTGTGCTAATGCAATTAAAAATAAAACCTCTATGCCACAACCTGCTTCAAATACCGCTCATGAACTTCCGATTCCCAAAAATTTTCGGTGTCTTTCAAATGTAAATTCTCAAACTTCGCAGAGGGCAAACGCTGTTTATAACGCTCCTACCTTAATAATCACGGTCCCTTTCTTTCACCTCCACGTCTCCTCAATCCTTCCGGTCTTGTCCACTGTATCATTAATGCTTTAATCCCTATTATTTAATCCTGTATGCAAAAGAGTCTTCACTCCTCTCTTAATTCCTATAATTCGTGCTTTCCGTTCATGGATAAAAACAAACAATAGTTTAATTCTATGAAACTGGAATGCGAGGGCCTCACGGATAAAAAATAGTTTTTAGGAATCCTGCTCGCTGGACATAATGTCCGATTTGGATCTGAGAAAAGGATTCGCCCGACGCTATTGGTAGACTTGCGACGGGGAAGACCGGTCATTACCGAAACTCACTCAGTACATACGACAGTTAGAAAGCGACTGTTAAAAAGTTTATAGATCGGATCGTCCCTCCGCGAAGGCTTCTGGTGGAGCGGCAATAATGATAAGAAATAATTCTTCTTATGGCCTAGATCCACTAGCAATCACCCTCGGCCTAGACGATATTACTGTTTTCTTAAGGGATAAATCTCGCAGTTTCTTATAATGACAACAGAGAACAAACAGCCCAATATACCGCTAAAGTCAAGACAGCTCCAAGAACTCTTCACATATCCCACCCATCATTTATTTCCTCACCCCACCTCCCCTATTCTGCACTAACAATACAGAAACAGACGCGGCAATCGATACATTTTATGAAATAACTAAAACAGCCAATAACAAATCAACTTGCCACAAAAAAGTTTATCGTAAAAATCTCAAACCTAAAAATATTAATATTCCGCAAACATTCTATCTCTAATTCAATAAAAAAAGTGGACAAAAAGCTCTGACAAGAAAATAGATTTCATCATTTAAAGAAAACTATAACGTATTTAACTCACAAAGCTCACTCTGCTCTTGAACAGTTTAGATTTCAGAAATTTCAACACATATCTAATTTAGACAAAGACTCCTTTTACCTTCGGCAACATTACTGGCACTTTAATAACCCCCCGTGCGCAATTATCGCTTTATATTATACAAATCAAAGAGCAAGAACATCTGAAGAGAAAGCAAATTTATTAGCAAATCATTTTACTAATAATCTAATGCCGAATTCTACTTCTGACGTATCCTTTAATAACAAAGTCACTAAGCACAAAGTAGGTAAACAGCACTCTTATGTGCCACTACCAATTGACTGTATTGCTCCATCCAAGATAACAGAACAAATAAAAAATTCCAAAAACAAAAAAATATCCTGGAACTGACATTTTCTCTCTCCTGGTACTCAAAAATAACTCTAAACGATCTAATTGATTTTCTAACAGGCATCTTTAATGGATTCCTAAAGAAAGATTATTTATCTTCAAATGGAAATGAGCATTAATTATTCTAATTTTAAAACCTAACGACCCTAAGACATAAAGCCCATGACCTCGCTAGTTCTAGACCCGTAAGTCTCATGTATATTAAGTAAAATATTTGAGAAATTAATATTATTTTGTTTCCTCTCTATTAACAACATCCTCCCTTCCTGTCAGTTTGGATTCAGACCCAACCTCTCAACTGTTCACCAACATTTAAGAAGGGGACATCGTCCAAGTCTTTCACTATAAAAAAATAGCGTCAAGGATTACTCTTACGCTACGATACAGGAATTATTGATTTTGATTTAACATAGCTGGAAGCTTCATTTCGAATCGCACATTCTATATCAAGTTGAACCATTCAATTCAATTTCCCTCCCTCAATAAACCACGCGAAGTCCCTATAGGCTCCCCGCTCTATACCAAATTGTCTAACACATTCACAGCAGATACTCTCGTTCCAGACAATCACTCAATGGTGCTTGATGCTGACGACATAGCCATCTACACTCAGTTGACTTGCAGCTCCCAAGGCCATAGACCACCTTCAAGACGCACTTCACGCTTTTCAGAACTGGGCGTCTTCATGGAGACTAAATCTGAATCCTACCAAATGTTTAGCTAAGATATTACAAATAGCGTTAAGGGAATAATCACGTTTATCGTGTTAGAGAAATGAAAAAAAAAAATTGCAGGAAATTTTATGCTCTTTAAAATTTAATTGTATCATTTTTCTACATGCTTAAATAGTAACGAGTTCTAGTGAAAAAAAACGAAGTAATCAGAAAAATAACGTTTTTCGGGCCTCCCGGAGTTAGCGCAGGATCTAGGAGGTAGAAACATCGAAATTTTAATTAGTACCCGGTCAGCATATTCAAAGAAAACGTTTTTATGGCCTTTTTTTCAGGTAAAATGTACCTAAGGACTTGACTACTCGTGATATGCACGCTAATTTATGTACTATGCATGCATCTCTATTCGACCATGGGGAGCGTTTACCTCGCTGTATAAGAAAAAGTAAAATTTAAAAAAAATTAAAAATTATTCCAGGTAATGCGTTGTAAACGTTTGTGTCATGCAATTACTTTTAAAAAATCCAGATCCAGAGTTTTACAACACACATTAGGAGTAAGAAGAGAAAAATAACAGAAAGGCCTTCGATAATGGACATCGAAGAGAAAATCAAAATGGTACATTTTCGTTATGAGTTAATTCCGTTACTATGTTATCTTCTCTTTACTTGCTCTTTTTCGTAACCCTTCACCACCAGCTATTCTTCACATTGTAGTAGTTCAGTAAGCCTCTCATCGGCACAATAGCCACAAACTCAAAAATTTACGAACGACTTATTGATCATTCTTAAGGTCTTTGAGAAGATCTATTGAAATATACGAGAAGGAAACTTCAGAAACCGTACTTTCAGAAAATAACAGCATAGTTACACAAGTACTAACATGAATATTTAAGGCGAAGTGAACATCCTGCGAAAAATATTATGACCGGGGGGGGGGGGGGGGGTGGCATCCACAAAAACAAATCGATATTCTGAAAATCTTACGATGACCTCGAAAACATGTGATGCCTTGCCTCTGTTTAAACCAGTAGCGCACCCAAGGGTGAGGATGGGGTGGGGGTGCTCATGGGGCTGCAGCTCCCACAAAAGCCAATGGTACATATTTAAAAATTTAGCTTTTTCTTATTTTCTATACTGACGAAAGTCATTCAGTGTATAAGTTGTTTATGTTATAATTATTAACTATAAATCAAAAAATAAAATTGCATTATATATTCAGCATAAATGAAACATTAAAGTCATGGACTCTATGCCTGTAGCTCCTCACCCCTCCACACACATGAGAAAAATCCTGTATTAAACAATATATATTTAAGCAATATTTTTTTGTTAATCATATGAAAATATTTACCATTGAATATTAGGAGCAGGGATACCACTAATAACACATGCTAGAGTGACTGGTTGACTGATTCCAGTAACCACACTCTTCAGTGGTTCCTGTATATTAGGTGCTTCTGCTTGTACTGGGGCAGTTATCTTTATATATTGGGTCTCTTGAGATGGTTGACTTTGCCCTATTTCATTTACAGCACTCACTCTAAACACATACTCCTTGTTTTGTTGAAGATTAGTGATTCGATGTGTTGTTTCAGTAATACTATAATTCTCATTGTATTTTTTCCACCTGAAATAATGATAAAGAAATCAATTATAAAAATGCAATATTAAATAATTCTATTATTTGCCTGTTCAAAGTGATACTCACGTTAAATTAGATTTATCATGGAATTCTACAATGTAATTAATAATGGGAGAGTTTCCATCAGTTTCAGGTACTTTCCAGTGAAGGGTAACACTATTATTTGTAATTTCCACAACTTCTGGATGTCCAGGAGCAGATGGCACCTCTGAAATTAAGAAAATTTAATTAGGTAAGATTTTGATTTATATTATATCATTCATTTTATGTGTTTGAATTATCATACCCATCAAGACAAGCTTCAGATCTGCTGATGCTTCACCACAGTTGTTGACTAGTTTAATGGTGTAATTTCCAGTGTCTATTTCTTCAACCTTTTTAATGGATAATACTGCTGAATATTCTGTTAGGACTGGTGTTACCTACACATTGTTAAATAAACTTGTCAATATAATATATTAAAATATTATTTTTATTTCTATTAATGTTACACCTAGATATTCTTTGATTTGGTAAGGTTACAATATCTTCAATCCATCCCTTCAATATATTTAGAAATATATAAAAAATATAGTTGGAATTTAAAAAAATAGAGATACAGTTTCAGAGGAATTAAATAATATGTCACTGAGCACTTGAAATTTTATACTAAAAAAACACTACATTTTTACTATTTCTGTAAAATTTGTTTTCCAACATAGAGTGAAAATTTGTATATCAACTTTATGAATTTGATTTAAACAGATATTGGTATTCAATAAACCATAGAAAACCAATTTATTACTTGTATTAATACATTTATTCAATGAATTATTATGAGCCATCAAAATTAGGATTGAACACCAAACACAACCTACTATTTGAGTGTCAACTCTGTGTAAACATAATGTTGATTGCACTTTTTAAAAAATATAATGTATTTTCGAAAAAAATCTTAATTATAACAAGGTGATTCGTTTAATACACATCACTACCTAACGTACCACCATTCTTAATACAGACTGTTTTAAGAATAATATAAAATAAAGAATTCACAAAAATTTTAGGTGCTTAGTAAGGCAAGAAACTGTAGTTGAATTCGTATTCATAGTTGTTTTTTTATATTTTAAATATCTTGAAGGGAGATCAGAAGAATTCCAACCTTGCGAAAATCCCCAATTATACATGCTACAGAATAGTAGAAAATAATGTATGTGAGATTTCATTTTAAATAATGAATACTATTAAATTTAAATAATGAATACTATGTCTATACTATTAGAACCGCCATTTGATTTGTTCTCAGGGTCATTTCACTTTTACAGTAAAGCACAAAGTTCTGTTACAATTTGTAACAACTTTCTGCTTTTTACGGCCACCTATCGGTATAGAACATCAACACCGTTGCAGTGACGGCTCCTGGGCATTCGCACGATCGCATGTGTACACCCAAATTAATTTGAGGCAATTCCTCTTCTACATCTCTCAATACGAGGAACAGAAAAGGCAACACAGAGCAGTTCGAGAGCATAGTATTTGAAATTACGTGTCGTTCGGAATCTGCGATTGCTAGCGCGCTATAATTTTCCCAGCGATAGCCGGAGCTCATGAAACGCATGAGTGTGAAGGACTCTCGTGTGTGGGAGGGGGAGGGCGAGGAACAAAGTGGATAACGAGGCCCGAGAGATCTCGGACGGCGACTGATACAGCGATCGGTACTGCCCGAGCCCAGTGGCTATCTCAGAATGGCTTGACGTCTGGAAGACGTGTCTATTGGGTGGGCAAGCACACAGAGAATGAAGGCGTAAAAAGAGTTCAATCTCTGCCTACATAAATGCGCTATCATCTCTTTACAAGGCCACAGTTCTTCGCTAGCGTGCGAACGCCTTGCTGTTCAATGTATTGTTTTATTAATTCTTGCATTAACTCGCCGTTATAAGTACATTTTGTTCTAATTTCAATTGGCAGGTCCTATTCAGAGTGTTTAAAAACCCGAATGTGTTTTGTGTATACATTAATGCACTTTAATTAAAACACCTGAGTTGGAGTGTTCTTTTTCTGGCTACTACGTTTGTGAAACTGTAAGTCTGTAGCGATGAAAATATTATCCAACGGAATTCCTCATGACTAACTTCGAAAATTGCAAATTAATCGATGCCTACCATAAACTTAATTCAAAGCAGTGAATATAAAGATATGCACGTACGTATTTATCTATGTATGTAATGTATGAATGTTTATGGTTGATGGATATGTTGGAATGCCTGTGGGACACACTCACACACACACACACACACATACACACACATGTATATATATGTGTCTGGTTTATGTATATATATAATATTATATATATATATATATATATATATATATATCGAGAGAGAGGCGGGAGAGAGAGGAAGGATTAGAGGACCCGGAGGGAGATTAAGACAGAGGAGGAAAAGAAGGACGTATGCACACCCTTAAAGACCGCTCCACAAATAAGCCCGGGAACGGGTACGCAAAGAAAGTTGAAAAGTCGGAACCTTTCAAAGGCAGGCGGTTACAACACAACGTGAAACTTGACGGGAACGAAGATGGTGATCATTTATCTGTAGTGCGATTTTGAGGTTTGAGCGTTGATTTGCAATGTTACTGTTGGAGGTGAGTTTTGTTAGTTGTTGAGTTTTTTAGGTCTTTTAAATAATTATAATTTAATTATTTTTCTATTCATATTAAGACTTTGAAGTAAAATTTCCCCCAAATAATTTTAAATACATTTCGTTATCTTACATCGAAGTTGTTTGTTTTTTTATAAAATGTTTTTTTTGTATTTTCTGCAAGTTAGTAGTATTTTTTGCATTTTTACATTTTTATTATTTTGATTTCCTATTTAATATTCTTTTAGTTGAAGAATTTATTATTCATAGCAACACATGCAAACATAACACACAGCAAATCAAAAAGTGAACAGACTGTTTCTTGAAATTCTTTTTTTGCAGGGTCATAGCGCTATTCCTCTTTACGTTGGCGTTTATTGTGAAGCGCATGTATCTTGCGTATCCGTTCCCTTCCTCGCCTTAACGTTGATTTTCCCGTTCTCTGACTATTACGGAGCGACATTTAAGGCAATACTAGGAACCATCACTGCACTGTTGCGTTGACGCAATGCAAAAAAGTATGATAAAACTGGATATTTTTTGGAACTGTACAGATCCTAAGTATTGCACCATAATTATTTCTCCTAAACATGTCAAGAATGTTTTTACACGCTTAAAGATAAGCGGACCTGGCTACTGTCACGTGATGCCCGGAACATCAATCACGGTCTCTGTAGCAAAGATAAGAGTTAACCGGGCTCGGCTTCATAACGTGTACCGAATCGGTTGCCGGTTATACTTGCTTTGTGTCTTTAGTGTGTCTTAGAGAAGAAAAAATTATCATCATGGACAAAAGCCTGACATGCAAAAAATGATGTATTCTATTGAAGGAAGTGTTGGCTTCCATTCCATATGAGGATAAAAGCCAGTAAGGAGGAATATTGAATTTCTTGTGGTTTCTCAAATAGGGTTGTCAGGTCTGCTTCCAAAAACTGCGGCAAGCGGGGAGTGGGGATAGTAAAAAAATTAAAAATTTCCTTTAAATTATATATACACACACACACACACATTTTAACACGTATTAAAATTATCACTTCAAAACTCTACTTAAAATTCAAGAATCAAATATATTATAATAATATGTAAAATATTATATTACGGAATATATTTATTTTACGGATCATTTCATCATACAGCTTTTGAAAAAAATAGTGAACATAATGTGAAAAAAGGAACTAGCCGCTCAAATAGTGGACAGCTGGCAACCATATTCGCAAATGGGGAAACGTTATTAAATAAGAAGCAATTCAACGTCCCAAATTTTACAGACTTTATTATTTCAATTCGATTTTATTCTAAAATTTCGTGCTCATTCTCTTTATCTTCTATATTAATATTCCAAAGTATACGTACTACCATTACTTCTTTCAAAGCAGGGAGAAACACATCCAGAGAGTAAACAGAAGTGAACGCATGCCCACCCTTATCAATCGTTTCTCGATGTTTTCTTGGAAATGATCTTGGAAATGATTACGATGTAAAAAAAGTTAAGTCGGAACCACACAAGGTGAAAATCATCCATCCATCATGGAAACCACACCACACACCGGAAAGGCGCCAAACTTATGTGTAACTTATTGTGGCTACGAAATGTGTGCACCTTATAAGCGTAAGCGTTATGCAAAAACTCTCTTTGAGCTTCACACAAGATTCAACGTTACGTTATTTATAACCGTTAAAGTTAGCCTTTTCGTTTCAGTACAAAAACTCTCTAATGACTTATCCTTTATAATACCTGTACTACTTAAAGATTTCTGCTAAACGAGACTACACAATAGAGGTATAGTTCATGCAAACTTCAGAATGTATTCAAAATATACGAAATGAAGTATACACTCAAAAAGTTGAAAGTGCGATTGTATAAAAACACTTACATTTAATAAAATACAAAATGAAATCTCACTTTTTACATGATAACATAATTATAATGTATTGTTGCAACTACAAGGGAAACGTGTACTTCTGAGAATGTTCTCTACATTCATGCAGTTAATTCTTCCATAGCAAACTCAAAATGGCTGGAATTGGCATGGCTGGAAGTCATGTAACTGCAAGTTGTATAGGTACTATATAAAAAACAAAGTGACTCCTTTTTTATGACCCACAAGCCAAAAAAAATGCATGTGAATAGAGAAACCTTATTTCTTGATATAGTGGTTCTAGAAAAACTAGGTAATAACACTAACCTTTTTGCTCTTCTTCACTAATTTACCGTTGACAAACCATTCTTCTTTTGGAGTTGGAGTAGCAGTATATTTCACCTCTATGTCTACATCATCTCCTTTCTTTACTTTATATATTTCTTTAAGTGCTTCCATATTTATTTTTGGTACTGTTTCAATAACTGAAGTAAAAAAGTGATACGTTAGCAAATGTAAAAATAACTCAAAAAACTAGAAAATTTAAAACAATACTTACTTTCTATTTTCAACTTCGAAGATGTTTTCACATTTACAGCCATGCAGGTGAAGTCAGCCTGGTCATCTAATGTCGCATTTTTAACAATTAGTTTTCGAACACTGCCTTCTGCTAATATAGAGTAATGGTCAGAAGGCTTGATTTCCTTCCCATTTCTAAAAATCAAAAAAAAGTACAGTAGAATACAATTAGTTCAACATCGCAATTGCAGCACAAAGAATCTTTACGAAATACTAAAATGTACATACTTCAGCCATACTACTTCCACATTTGGTCTCGATAACTCAACAGTAAACGTTGCATCCTTGCTTAAAGGAACCAAGGTAACATCAGGTAACTTAGTGAGAAACTCGACAACAGGTTCTGCAAGAACAAAATGTCAAAAGGTTAGTAAAAAATCGAAAACTTTGGATGTATATTACATATCTACAATAGAAAATATCGGTGTCTCAGACGTTTGAGAGATGCAGGGAAGTCGAAACGACCACTTTTGCCAATGACCATATAAGGGGAAATTCCATTCAACGGAGGTTGCACCTGAGACGTTTTCTCCTGATGCGCAGTTGCCTAAGTCGCGCTCTGACGCAGTCAAGAATTCATGTACCTGCCGAAGCCATTGTATAGGGGTTGCTCAACATTCGGGGGCAAATATCACTTGTTTATTTGAAATTCCCTGTTGTATTGGCAGAAGATGATCATATTCGACCCCTCTTCATGACTTAGAAGTGTGTAACATTTATTCTGCCACAGAGGATGAGTCATTTCAGAGGTGGAAAAACACGCTAATGACTTTTCCTCAATTCGATGAGTAAATGTTTCTTATGTCATTATGTTGAGAAATGCATTGTTACTGCATATAGTTTGCTGTTGATTTTTATTCTTCGACAATGGCCGGATGATTGTGCTTAATGTGAGTGGGAACACTGATGATATGTATAAAATTTGTTGAAAAATAATCCTTTTTTTGGGGGGGTACGAACGACGAAAACTGCAAATTTGTAAATTGACGGAATTGAGGTACTTTCTGGAAGTGATATTTTATATGAATATTATCTTCTCTTTCCAGTTAAAGTCATAGTTTTGCCCCATTCCTATTTTGAAATACTGAATTAATGCAACAATAACAACCGAAAGCTATGAAAGTTGAAGTTATGAAACAACAGAATTCGTCGACAAATTGCTGCGATAACAAAGCTCGCCTCTGTCACTTTTTGTTCGTCAGATTAAGCACATTTGGTATTTAAAGCCTGGAATAACTCACCCTGTACTTATTTACACTAAACTTCACACAAAATGCAGATAATCAGCAATGCAATACTTTGGAACTACAATAATGTACTCATCTCAGTTTTTTTATGATTACACTAAATAAGTACGGTAGACAAACTTGTAAAATACTGAAAACACTTCACATTGAAATGTGCTTTTAGACTTACCTTCAACAGTGAGTTTTGCAGATGAAGTTTGTTCTCCAACCTGACATGAATATTCTCCAGAATCCTCCAGTTCACAGTTATATACTTTTAACTTCTGTCTTTTTCCATCAATCGATAACTGAATATGCTCAGAGAACTGCAACTCGTTTCCATCTTTGAACCATCGAACCAAGGCATCGCCTTTCGTGAGTTCAATTTCAAAGGTTGCTTTTTCACCCTTTGCTATGGTTACATTCTGCATTCTTGTTATTATTTCTGGAGGCAATTCTATCAGGTGGACAGAAGAAAAAAATGTCATAATCCAATAATGAAGAAATATGTTGTGATTTAAAGAAAGAAAAAAAAAACATAATTAACATTTATTAAAAAAAGATCAAAAAAGAGGTTTTACAAATGTTTATATTGCGTAATTATGGCCTATCTCGTGGCTCAGAGCGAAAGTCGCTTGCCTTTTACCAAGGATTCCCGGGTTCGATTCCCGAACAATCTCGTGTTAAATTTGTTCCGACAAAACGAGCTTAGCTGCTTCTCAGGGTCCAGCCCCTGTGAAATGTCGTAAACCCTATCACTGTCCTAATTCCTTCCCAATTCTGGCCGCTGTACAGTGATATAGAAGCGCGTGTAAAGAGGCACGTACTCGGAGATGCTACCTGGCGGTCCTCTTAACAGCAGGCTGTCTACTCTTACTGATACCCTAACGTTAAAATCAATAATGTGGTCGCTAATGACCTAGTAGTTGATGCGAACTTAAATAAAAAAGTATAATTAAATTATATTTTCTTTATCTTTAAAAAAGGATAAAAAGTGTTTGAGGAAATCAACATCAATAGCCCTCGTCTTCATGTGATTCGCGAAGTGATAAAAATACTAGGATGTTATAAGTAAACAACATATTCTATATACGTAAAACCAGAACACAACTCTAAACTTGCAACCACTTTGACCCTTTGCACTTTAAGTGTCCCTAAAATACAAGGAGCGTGAATGGGAAAAGACTGAATCGTTTGCTTTGGAATGCAGATCGATAATGAGAACAAAATGAAAAAATCATGGTCATCAGTGTGCGTGGTCGCTCAGCCAATGAAAGGCAAAAGCCTCGAATAGTCATAAATCCATGATTAGTGATTTTCATGGAAATTATGAAAATGACAATTGCATGAAGTATTTAGAGATATGAACAGAGTCCAAAATAATAATTTCAAGTATAAGTGCAAGTGCTGCATGCTCTAAAACTTCAAGTATGAAATGACAACATATTGTAAAATGCGTAAGTATGTATACAGAATATGCATTTCTACGGCTATTCGATGCAATGTAATTCTCGCGTAACAGTAGAGGATCATACAGTGAAGAAACATTACGGGAAGATATATCAAAGAGTGCTTTCAGGAATACGATTTTGTTCACAACAGTGTCGAAATATGTTGACTTTTATTTTAAGATCTGGTTCATACTTTGTTAGTTTATTACAAATTAAGATCATATATATATATATATATATATATATATATATATATATATATATATATAGTCTGGCTTTATTTTCTTTTCTTCCAGCTTAATGCTTCTGGCAAGTGAACTAATTGTCTTTATCTTTATTCCGGTTAATCCACCACGACGCACATACAGTCTCGAGAATCATGGAACTCGCCGCACTCCCGATCTCCGTCACATGTCAGGTATTTCCCGAGATCGATGAGAAATGGGTTACTCAAGGTGTAAGGGACTCTTCCAGCGTCAGCCCGGAATGGGTCGGAAACGACCCACTGATGGAGCGGTCTTTAGAATTCTCATGAGGGCAGAGGTCGGCTGCGATCCAGCAGCAATTTGCTGCAATTAGAAACCAATCAGTTGGAAACCGTCCAAGCTACTCGAACTTGCAACCTGCCAGTAACGAATCTTTAGGTGCCGACCCGCAATTACGGACGCTACAGCAGCCAGGAAATGAACTCATCGAAGAAGATAACCTCACTTCCTATTCACAAATGGACATTTCTTCAGACAAGTATTTGTTTTTAGAGAAAAAAATACGTACAATGAGCGTAGAATTTCAAGGACACTGGCGAGATATTTAATATATAGTTCGTTACTTACCTACTACTGTTACTTCAGCTGTACACTCCTGTTCACCCACAACACAAGTGTATTCTCCTTCATCATGCACGGATGTACCTCTAATAAGCAATCTCCTCATTCCTCCCTGTTTCTCAAACACGAATTTTTCATGTTGTTCACTTATTTGTTCACCATCCTAATAAAGGAAAAAATAACATAATTAAGCTTTTCTCATCACTTTCTACAAAAGATGCCTAAGAAACTGTAGGAGCAAAGTGTAGATGCTAGAGTCATGTATCTACTACATGTTGCAAAGGACATCGCACATCGTTGACTTGTGTTTGAATATACAGACAACATACATTCACTTACAGCTCTTGATCTACCGATATTTTTTCCCCCTTAGGATATTTTTATGAAATGACACAAAATGTAAATTGATCAAAATTCGTTATTATATTGCTTGGAATGGTTATTCGGTGTTACAATTTGTGGGTGATTGCGGTTCAAAATTGACTTACTGAATAGAAGGTAATGAACCGCATATTGTTTAAAAGAATGTATCATTCGCATGATGATTTCATTCTAGAATGTCATATTCACATGTGAAAAAGACCATATGAGGAGCAGCAGGAACAGATAGAACAACAAAAACGCCACTTTTCGACATTGTCAGCGTCTTGCCTCTCCTGTCAACAGCCTTGCCGTGTCAACTTTCCAAATGAAGTATGAAAGACGTCCTGCAAGCTGCGTTAGTCGAATTGTAGCGTAGCTGTCACAGTCTATTAATTGACTGTGGTAGCAGCCTCGGGCCACTGGGGAAGTTTAAGCCTCATTCACGATGCAATCTTAAACGTAAACATGACGTAGTCGCAAAACCTAGAAATGAGTTATTAAGCGAGACCAATCACAATGCCTTGACGTAACCGTAGACGTAAATACGTAAACTTAAAGAGTTCACAAGCACCCAGCACTTACGTTAAGTTTATGTCGGAATTCTACCGAAGACCAATCAGAGAGCAGCGTGAAAGAAACAAACGTGGATTTCAGATTGTGCTTAGGTAGTTTGTGGCTATTTTATTTCATTACTGTTATGCACTGAACAAATTCGCAAACGGTTTTGATGCGAGCAGTGAATTTAAAGTAAGAATATGGGCCTTTTTTCTTGTAACTTTAACTTGACGTGGCGAATAAAATAATTACGTTCGACGAATTACTTGTGAATTTGGTACAAGAGAATACTTGTTTATAAAATAAAGGAAATGCGAGCACTAAAACAACTACTCACATTTATATAAACACAAGTCGATGGGAAAATCGACGAAAAAAGCTAGATACTAGAAACCATTGTGAAAAGATCTTTCCACCATGCTAGAAACGAATTGCTCAAGTTTTATTACGATGAAATCTGAATCGTTGAGGCAAAACTTATGTT